AACAAGGCAGATTCAGGTAGGTGAGACACACACACACACACACACACACACACTCTGGGTAACATTCACTTCCTGGGCGGAACTGGGATCAGGAGCCCTTCCTGGGCTTAACGAGAAATCAGGAGCCCTTCCAGTGGCAGACAGGTGAGCACAATGAGGGTAATTCACTAATGATTAGTACGGGCTAAACCAACAAAAGGGGAAGAAACCACAATAAACAGTCCACAGGGGCGTTACATCATCACAGACGACCCTGGGTCTTATCAGTGCCTCAAGCAACAATGATTGTAGTAAAGATCATATTATTTTAGGAATGCATGATCTATAGGAAGCATTTTGGTTATGAGCCAATATTACAGACTTTATTAATTTACTGGTATTGGCTAATATTGAATATTTAATTGTGTATGCTAATTTCCCCTATTTTTAGATTTAGATTACATAACACTTACTTAAAGTTCATCTTAATAAACACTAATAACTTAATAATGCTGTTAAATCAAATGTAATGTTTTTCAAATCTCAAAATTAATTTCCATTATTTATACTGTAATACTTTTAATGTTGTGACACCTCAGTTTACTTTTAGCAAATTAATTATTTTAGTTTTATTGTTTTTAATGCATTTAGATAAATAGTATACAATTTTTTATCTTGGCTACTTATAAGTTAAAGAGATAGTTCACTAGAGAATGGCATTCCAGTTTATGATGTAAGCTTTGGTGAGAAGTAAAGACTATAGAAATACAAAGATGGTTCACTCCTATACTTATGAATGGGTGAAACTGCAATGCGCAAATATGACGGAATAGTCCCACCTTCTAAATGAAAGAGCCAAACGCTGACTGGTAAAGTCATTGCATCACTGCAGCGGCCGTTAGAAGCTCCGGTTCCCATAGAAACCTGAAGCTAGACCAGCCAATGCATGAGCAGTCATAAGTGCATTATGACTGCGCATGCACATTGGCTGGTCTAGCCTGAAAAATAAGCTTTTTTACACTATTTCAGCATAAGAAACAACATTCATGGGGCAGTTCATTTCAGATATTGTTGCTGATTTGAAATATGTAATTTATTTGTGAGTTCATAGGGCAGTTTTTGAGAAATGGTGAGAATCGATTCAGAATCGTTGAAGAGAGAATCGCGATGCATTGGAGAATCGATTTTTTTCTCCCACCCCTACAGCCGAGTGAACAGACTTTCCTTGAAAGGGACTTTGGTGAGAAGTGACGAACGCAGAAGTACAGAGGAGAGCAAAACAAAAGACCGTCACGAATTAGAAGTACAAAATGAGCATTTGTAAAGAAAAATGTCAGAGAATTTCGATATAAGCCAAGAGACAGGTTTTTCCGTTGCTGTAAACTAAACTTGGTTCTCGCAAGACTAGGATATTCTCACTGGAGCTTACGCTACGCCTACGTCCTACGTCATCGTAAAGTTTTAAATATGGATATTTTTCTTAATCAAACACATCGATTTGCTTCCGAAGGCCTTTATTAACCCCCCAGAGCCGTGCGGGACACTTTTTATGATGGACGGATGCACTCTTTTGGGCTTCAAAATATTGACCACCATTCACTGCCATTACAAAGCTTGAAAGAGCCAGGACATATTTTAATATAACTCCAACTGTATTCGTCTGAAAGAAGAAAGTAATATACACCTAGAATGACTTGAGGGTGAGTAAATAACATTTTTGGGTGAACTATCCCTTTAATTTTTCAATTAATTTTTAATTTTAACTTAATTTTTAATAAAAATTAATCACAAACACAATAACTGTTAAATGCAATCTTCTTCAAATCTCAATATGAACTTCCATTTTTCATACACAACATTATAATGTTGTGATGCCTGGCTAAATGTACTTTTAGCATTTAAAATAATTAATTTTAGTTTTATTATTTTTGAAGTTATATAGATAAAAATAGTGTAGAATTTATGGCCATTTTTTGCTTAACCTTTCAGTTTATTTTTCATTTAAACTCAACTTTTAATCAAACTTAATCTTTAAACACAATAACGCTGTTAAATGTAATCGTTATCAAATCTCGAAATTACTTAGCCTAGCATTTTTCTTACTGTACATTCTTACTGTTATATAATGTATAATACTGTACATTAAATTGATGCCCAAATGTACGTGTAGCATTTAAAATTATTTATTTTAGTTTTATTATATTATTTATTTAGATTTATTATCAGCCATAACATGAAAATAATTATCGGCATATGTCAGTATTGACTAGAATTTTGTTTCCCTACCTATTTTTGATGACAGCCATGTCCCTTCTTCTAGGTAACTTTTTTCTTTTGTTTTCAAGGACTATTTGAAATACGTCATGACTGACGTCTACATGCTGCAGTTCCATTTTTGAGTGACAGCAAAGGCCGGCGTATGTGCACTTATTTGACCCTGTTGTGATACACAACCGGGGGGAGGGAAAAAAAGTGTTATTTTTAAAGGAACATCAAAAAATGCAAGCCAGTCACTTTGGATTTAGCACGTACTGCTGTTGTCTGCACTGAGGAGTAGAAACCATTATGCTATTAGTCCAAGCTACGAAAACATCTCAAAATAAACCACCTAAATCAAAAATATTCCAGAAATACAACTGAAAAACTGTGGCCTTCAATACTCCAGAATAAGAGGTAACAGATGGCTGTTATTTGTGGACTTGATTGATTGTGCTTTAGTAGTGGCTTAGCTAACTGTAAGTCGCTTTGGATAAAAGCGTCTGCTAAATGCATGATTTATTATTAATTATAACCATTAAATTCTCACTTAAAGTTATATTAATTTTTTTATTTAGTACATTATAATAATGTGATGCCTACATTCACTTGTAGCATTTAAAATGACTGATTGTAGCTTTTGGTATTTTATTTTAATTTACACAAATACCAATACCATATATATATATATATATATATATATATATATATACCATTATACTAATGCAAGCCAGTCACTTTGGATTTAGCACGTACTGCTGTTGTCTGCACTGAGGAGTAGAAACCATTATGCTATTAGTCCAAGCTACGAAAACATCTCAAAATAAACCACCTAAATCAAAAATATTCCAGAAATACAACTGAAAAACTGTGGCCTTCAATACTCCAGAATAAGAGGTAACAGATGGCTGTTATTTGTGGACTTGATTGATTGTGCTTTAGTAGTGGCTTAGCTATAGTGTGCACGCTTTACCCAGAGCATTGGATGACCTTCACTAGGCAGTTACAATGCATTGATTCAAACTAAAAGGCAAGAATAACACAGCAGACAGAATGAAATTAGTGTTCCATGTTAGAAAGAAATGACTGTTATCTCCACCTCTCAACCAGTCAGTGAAAGTAATTTAAGCCATGGAACCTTACCATGAGTGTTTTGTCTGGTTGATAGGAAACAAAATCTTGTGAAAGGAGGCCTCTGACTTAACAATAACTCATTCAAAATGCTTCCTGTAAACTTTCCCCACTTGATATAAAGCATGAATGGAGTTGCTGGTAGCCATTAACTTCCATAGTATGGAAAAAATACTATGGATGTTAATGGCTACCATCAAATGTTTGGTTACGCACATTCTTCAAAATATCTTTTTTTTTTGTAATGTTTTGGACAATAGTATGGCAGTATGGCAGCTGATCATAACAAACTTCTTAATAAATCATTTTTAACCCACAAAAACCTGCTGCTTTACTAAACAAAAATCACCAATTTAACAACCCTTACCAAAAAGAAGTATACTTCAAGTTTATTTTATTAAATATACTGAAGTAAAGTTCAAGTATATTTTTAAGTATACTTTATGTCTCTTTATCTGTGTCTTTTTTTTCTTGACAAGAATTGAATTATTGACAAGAACTGTCTTTATGACCACATCAAACAGGAGAATTTTCAGACGTGCACTCCAACTTCGCCTCAGCGCCAGACGCTAGTCAAATGAGCACGGAAACGGTACAGGTGATGAGGGAGCTTCAGTAGAACAACAGTGAACTGTGGTCAGATGAGATGTTGTCAGGCCATATGTCAGTAAAAACTAATTTTCCTGTCCTGTCAGCCATTATGCTGTGCTCGTAGCAAATGCTCTTCAATCGCATGCACAAATGCGGCGATTCGCGTTGTTTATGATTTCATATTAAAGCACAAAATAAACTACAAACATGCAATGTCGTAGTTATGTCGTCAGTTAAGTCATGAAGTTACCAAAAAGGCGATTAAAGCTGCCTTAAAGGGATAGTTCACCCAAAAATGAAAATTAGCCCATGATTTACTCAGGGCATCCTAGGCGTATCTGACATTCCTCTTTCAGACGAACACAATCGCAGTTATATTTAAAATTGTCCTGGCTCTTCCAAGCTATATAATGGCAGTGAATGGTGCCCCTGTTTGGGTTGTTTTTATCCCAGTGTTTTTTAGAGTGCATATTTGTATGAACCAGAGTATACCGACCAGGAACTCAGCGAGATGGAGGAGGCTGCAGCGGCGGCGGCACAAACTACAGATGTACTTCACGTGGTTTCCCTGTGCTGTAAACAAAACTTGGTTCTCGCGAGACTACACTCTTCTCCCCGGAGCTTACGATGCGGATTCCGCTACACCTACGTCATACGCTCGAACGCCTTGTTGTGAATGTGCCTGCTTGAGCGACTGAAAGCTGGAAATTACAGTTTATACATTTTAAAAAATCTATATTTTTCTTACACTAACGCATCGTTTCGCTTCAGAAGGCCTTTATTAATTGTGATGTTTTTATCAGCTGTTTGGACTCTCATTCTGACGGCACCCATTCACTGCTGAGGATCCATTGGTGAGCAAGTGATGTAATGCTAAATTTCTCCAAATCTGTTCCCATGAAGAAACAAACTCATCTACACCTTGTTTGGCCTGAGGGTGAGTAAATTTTTATTTTTGGGGGAACTATTCCTTTAAACACAGTAAACAATGTGCACATTTATATCAAATGACTCTTGTTTTGTATGTGTGTTTGTAGGCAGAATGCTGCTCCGATCACTTGCATTGCTGTTATCAGGGCACTCTGTGTGACCTGGTACACTCCAAGTGTGTGAACAAGACACACATTTTAGACTGGGTGGAAAAAGTCGCCACAAAGCAGGTAACATGCATACCTGCACAGCCACAAATCCAGATAAGCCTTGAGTAAATATTCAGCATTGAAATAAAACTTTCTCTTTTTGTTTGTGATTTTAGCAAGCAGTAATTTGTCCAGATCAGGAGTCTGAGTGTCCCGATGACACCACCTGCTGCCAGATGCCTGATGGCAGCTGGGGCTGCTGTGCTATGAAAAATGTATAGCACCTGTTTGACCATATTTTTATTCTGGAATGCTGTTACATGTACATGGTAATGTTTACATTTGTCTTTCTTTCTCTTTGTGTGTGTGTTCAGGCCGTGTGCTGTGAAGATAAGAGACACTGCTGTCCTCAGGGAACTAAATGTGACCTCGAGCATTCAAGGTGTGTGTCGGCAACATATGGGCCCTCCCCACTCTGGAGGAAGTTCGCTGCCCGTCACAGGAAACCATCAGAGAGGACCGCAGGTATGATGGTTTCTCAGTTTTACATTTCATTAGCATTAAAGGGATAGTTCACCCAAAAATGAAAATTAGCCCATGATTTACTCACCCTCAAGGCATCCTAGACATTCCTCTTTCAGACTAACACAATCGCAGGTATATTTAAAATTTCAAGCTGTATAATGGCAGTGAATTGTGCCCCTGTTTTTAAAGCCAAAGCCGAAAAACTGCATCCATTCATCATAAAACTACTCCACACGGCTCCGGGGTGTTAATAAAGGCCTTCTGAAGCAAAACGATGCGTTAGTGTGAGCTTACGTTGCGCCTGCCGCTACGCCTACGTCATGCGCTTGAATGTCTTTTCGTGAACGCGCCTGTTTGAGCGACTGGAAGCTGGAGATTACGGTTTATAATTGTTTAAAAATCTATATTTTTCTCACATTAACGCATCTTTTCGCTTCAGAAGGCCTTTATTAAGACCCCGGAGCCGTGTGGAGTAGTTTTATGATGGATGGATGCAGTTTTTTTAGGCTTCAAAAACAGGGGCACCATTCACTGCCATTATAACAGCTTGGAAGAGCAAGGACAATTTTTTATATAACTCCGATTGGATTCGTCTGAAAGAAGAACGTCAGATACGGCTAGGATGCCCTGGGGGTGAGTAAATCATGGGCTAATTTTCATTTTTGGGTGAACTATCCCTTTAAAACTGGGCATGTAAGTATTTGTTATATATGAGTCACATTTAAGAACATGTCTCTGAAATGCAGTGGTTTTCAAAACTGTCCTGGAGCAGCCCAGCACTGTCTCCCTCATCTATAACACCCCATTCAACTTGTCAGCTCATTATAGAGACTTTAAGACTTTGTATACTTGATTGGAAATTTAAATCCATATTCATATTTAAATTATATTCCTGTGGCTCAGTGGTAGAGCATTGCGTTAGCAATGTAAAAGGTTGTGGGTTCGATTCCCAGGGAACACACACATACTGGTAAAAATGTCTAGTCTGAATGTACTGTAAGTCGCTTTGGATAAAAGCGTCTGCTAAATGCATTCGTAGTATAAGCGGAATAATTGACTCCGGGCCGCTGAATTATTAGAAAAATAATGCACACCCGAGATGTAACGGTGCATTATTTTTCTAATAATTCAACGGCCCGTCGTCAATTATTCCTATATTTCAATACCAGAAGTAAAGTAGTAAAGTGTAACCCATAAGTCTCTAGAAGAGACAGACTAAGAAAACTGGAGAAGATATAAAAGGTGTGGCCCAACAAAGACAAGTATCTGAAGAGGCTGGACGGGTGGGCATACAGGGATTGGCCACCGCGTCTCATCTTTCAGTGGGCCCCAGCAAATAATTAGCAGAGGTATGCTGTGCGCCTTTGTCAGCACGTGTGTCTGTCAAACATGAGCGTGTGTCAGGAACAATGGCTGGACGACAAAGGGACACGGGTCGGCCTCCCCGCCACCACCACAATCGTTGTGAATTGCAAGGCACGAGCAACTTGGAACAATAGGGAACGGCACGGGTACTGGGTGGCATCAAGCCGACACAAGGCCCCACCTCAAGGTATCTGGCCAAAAAGCTTCAGCATCAGCATTCTGTCGGACCTTGTTCTGTCAACCTTAAAAATTGTGTTGCAAGCAGTTTTGCGAAAGCACCTGTGCATATGAGTTGTGAACGCATATGGAAGCGGGGTTAATTCAGTGGAAGGGAGGTCACGCCAAAAGAAAGGAACATATAAAGATCCTAACAGCTGGGACAGAACTACAGGGATACAATGGAGTCGGAGTGGGGGAGGGGGAGGGGGAGTGGCAGAAGAGAAATGGGACAGGGGAAAAAAAAGATGGTAGACGGGCCACCTTTCTAGAAGCCTTACAGGGGTCCTTTGTTACGGCAGCTGGTTGCAGGGAGGTCAGACCAGCTGTGCTTCCACTGACACCCTCCCCCCGTCCCGCTCCGCTCCCTGACCAAACACAGCCAGCTGTATAGAGGAGGAGTTAGGGGGTTTCAGCGAGTTTGGGGGAGGGTGTCCACACAGCGTCCAAATTTTAGGACCCTACATGACTCACATCTAAGTGATGCTTTACACTAAATGGCTCTGGACCCTAAAGCATTCAGACTCTAAAGTAGTGGTAGATAGTGACAAGCCAATATATCATTTTGAGATGATTTTTTGAGTGATTATTGATAAAGGTGTTTGATTGGCCAAATAACAAAGGTGGTCATTTCGCCTATATTTTAAGACTTGTCAATGAATAGGGCTTTTTGTCTTTTTTCTTTTGACTATTATATACAATTGTTATTTTAAATTCAGTGTGCATTCCTATCATGAAATTGTGAAATATACATAAATTAAATATATATATATATGAATAAATTACTTTTATCAAGGGTGCATTAAATTAATCATACATATATATGTGTATATATACCAATTACATATCAATATTTTTAAATGCTAAGTGAATATAGGCATGAAAAATGGATGTTCTTCTTAAGTCAGAGTAGATGATGGCAAAAGTACTCTAAATGTAAAAATAGAGCAATGGACAATTAAATACCCAATATTGGATACATATTCAAAATACTAATCATCATTGGCAACAAATCTTTAAAAATCTGTATATAAACTAGGGCTGGGCAATATAGCTAAAAAATGTATCAACGATATAATGTTTCATATCGTTCGGTATCGATAATTATTGACATTTTTTATAACCTTTTTTAAAACAAAAAGCAATAGATTTTTTTGTTTGTTTTAACCACTGTCTTTATAATTAACACAATTTATTGAAACAAACAACAAATATTTTTTGAGACGTGGGCTACACTAACAAAACATTAAAATGCAACAACGTCACTTACATCATCACCGCACCTCACACACCACTGATGACGCTCCCTGATGCACACCTAACATTCAAATGCAAATGTTTATTTTAAATTCGACTAATATTCATTCTTTATTCACAATCTCCTCATCACAGGCAGGCACAGCACTCAATTCAGCATGTGTTCGTGTTTGTGTGTGCTGTCTGCGTCACTCATAGAACGTGCCTATATCGTGCGCTATATCGAACAATTTTCTATCGATATCGAAGAAGGTGTACCGTCGATAAATATCGATACCGTTTTATCACCCAGGCCTAATATAAACCCTTATTGGTGGACAACCAGTCAATCGGAGTCTTACCAAAAACTTCACAAGACACTATTATGAGAGTGACTCTTATGCTATGCATTGCCCCCCTCTAAGACCATCTGCCTTAAATCCATAATGCATGTCACTGTATTATCTAGAAATGTTTCCTTTTTATTTTAGCATTAAAAGCTGTTAAAACAATTTCAAAGTGAAACTATCGATCCCAGTATCTATATGCCAGCAGTCTGCTCGTAAACTCATGGCTCTACTCGTTGCTTGCAAAGGCTGTGCATTTTCAGGAAAGGCTTGGCTCTACTGACATCTCACTTAACCGTTTAGAGTTCGCAGAGGTCTTCTTATGTATATAAGAACTCCATAATGGAAGCTAAAGTGGCCATACACAGAGCAGGAAGACAGTGTAGAGATCCTGTAAAACTGCAGTGAACCTTATTCACCATATTATTCAAAAACAGTTCCAGTAGAGCTCTTATTACACTACATCATGTTTCCAGACTTCTACAATGACAGCCTGCGGGCACCATTTCACAATGGATATATTTGCAAGTGAAGTCTGCACTGTGGATTATGAGTACTTGAGCTTGAGGTACACCCATGATATGAACCAACTGAAAAGACCCTATTAAGAATATTTATATTTTAGACCTTGAATTTGTGGTCTGCCTGTGTCTCTTTGAAAATGTCTTCAGTCAACTGAAATGGTATTTAAGACTCTTCATTTGCAGGCTGCAACGTAAAGGCAATATAAAAAGTATTGTTTCTAAAAATATTTCATAAACAAAAACCATACGAAAGCTCTAGTGAAAGTCAACATCTTAAACTAGCAGGGAAACAGATAGCTTTGCTATAAGACACTGAGTTTCTTGTAGTGCTTCACATATTCTTTCAAGCAGATCCGATTTAAAATCATTCCCACTCATCTTTGCTAGAATCATTATCCTCACTGAAGAACTGGCTCAGCGCTCTGTCAATCATCTGCCTTTCCAAAACTCACAGGTGAGTTGTGTTTCACTGTACAACATGCAAAGCTAATTTTGTAAATTTTGAATACCCTGCTGAAGAAAACAAACCAGCCTAAGCTACAATACTAGACTTATGGATTACATATTCATAGTGCATATGGACCTATATTTAACAAAGAGCTTGTGAATTGTACTTGTTACTTAGATAACAGGCTAACATTATCTTATGTGTAACCTAGCAGTGGTTTAATATATGGCAACCCAGAAAGCTCAAGTTTGTATCCAGTTTGGGGTAAAACGCAACTAATCGGTTTTATTGTATTATTTATTTCTGTTGTCACCCATAAAATGGATATTAGGGCTGCCCATTTAATTGCAATAAAACCGAAACTGTGTTATGGCTCAGTGTGCTTATCAAACTGCAAAGGCTGCAATTATTATTATTATTATTACTATTATTATTATTATTATTATTATTATTATATACTTTTTCTTAAATACTCAATTCTGTTTATTTTACAAGTAGTAATATTTCTTATTTTGTTTAATATTTTTATTTAGTAGTAGCAGTAATACTAATAATATAAAAATTATTATTATTATTATTATATTACTACTACTACTACTACTAATAATAAATAAAGATATTAAACACAAAATAAACATTTGGGCCAATTTGTGCAGTTTTTATTATATTATATTTTATTTTATTATAATAGTAATAAAATAATAATAATTAAATGTTATATGTATAAATAACAAAATATAACTAAATGGTGAAAAGGGTCTGGACATTCACCCCAACAATTCAGTTTCGTTTCACAATACTGAACACAAAAGAAGATTGCACATATTTCATATACTTCTAAGCTCCCTAATGAGTGCACTGCACTC